ATATTCAAAAAAGTAAAACAGAAGAGAGACAAAATGAAAAATGAAGTAGAGACAATCTACAAAAGGAAAAAGAAGGTAAATGATGTTCAAATGGATGAATTTAAAGCAATATTATCCGATATAAAAACAAAACTGTCTTTTCTTAATCAATTATTAAAGAGTGATGAAGGCACTGCAATGCAGTCAAGTGAAACAGTAGTTACAGCACTCAGGGACAGAATCAATGAATTACCAAAAACAGAGCCAGATGATAATGGAAAAATTTACTACTTCATAAACAAACAGCAGATGGCTTCATTGAGACAATGTGCTATAGGGACTGTAAAAGATTTGAGGGCAGCAGACTGTTTAACATTAAAAGGAGAGGAATCTGTGATCAAAGATCAGACAATTATAGTCAATATAATCAAAACAGATGAACATGAAATATATGCTAATCAACTGAAGGCAACATGGACACATCCTGCAGGGGAAACCAACATCTCTCAAATTCAGGAAGATGACAATGGAGATTATTTTGTGACAGGAAAATTCACAAGTCCTGGAGTCTGTAAACTAGATGTGAGTGCTGATGATGAACCCGTTAACCAATCACCAATGATAATCAAAGTAGAAGGGGGAAGATTAGTAAATACTATTCAAATAAATGCAACAAATATTATAGATGTAGTTAAGTGTGAAGATGACTCCTTACTGGTTTCATGTTGGACAAATGAAATGCTCAAGTACAAGCAATCAGGAGAGTATATTGGTAAGGTTACACTACCAAAAGGTGTGAGAGTTAACAGAATGTACAAAATGATGAATGGTAACATAGCATTCAGTGATTTCAATAATACACCTATCAGAATATGCAATATGAATGGTCAGCTGATTAAAACAATTAGTGAGGGAGCAAAGAATACACCATGGAGCATTCATGTGGATGAGACATCAAATGTTTTGTCTGCAGGAGGTTGGCCCAATAGCTGTGTGTACATGTTTGACATGAATAATGGCAAGACCATCAAAACAATAGAGTCATATGGTACAAAAGAAGGTCAAATGAGAAATGTCACTGATGTTACTCTTACTAACCAAGGACACCTTCTTGTATTGGACTATATCAACAATAGATTACAATTATTTAATAATGAGGTAAGGTTTATAAAAGTCCTTGTTGAAGCAGGTGATGAGGATGGTAAAGTAAATTCTCCAAGTGCAGTAGTAGTTGATGAGGATGACAACATCATTATATCAAGTGAACACAAACTACAGCTATTCAGTAGTGATGGAAATTTCATAAAAAGAATTGATAAACCAGAAGATAGAATCAACGATCCAGCGGGATTATCCGTCATTTCATATCATCCAAGGAGACTTGCAGTAGCAAATAATGGTGACAAAACAGTAAAAATATTCAATTATTAAATACTGACAGTCCACTTGCTTCACTTGTGTGTTTTCAACAATTCAAATTTATAAGTGTAGGAATATCTACATATCCATTATTTCATATCATCCACATAGAGTTAAGCTATGAATCTTAAATTTAAAATAATTATTGAATACAATAATATCGAAATATAAAGTTGGCATAACGTTTATAAACTTGTTAAAATATTTGATTATTGAATATGATATACATAGAGCTGAAGTTATGTTTTGTTTTTTGTTTAAACTGTTAAAATATTAATTATTCTACACAAATGATATCTATAGAGTTGAAGTTATTAAACTGAAAACAATAATACTGTAATCTGGCAACCTCAACTGTTTACAGTGTAGTTCTCATCAAATTTGAATCATACAGTATTGATCTTATGATTTTATATTTTTGTAGTGTAAGCTGTTTTTAATCATATAATGCATATACATGTTATTTTCTTGCATATTGATGTTAAAAATGTTACTTCAATCTATTGGGGCTTTTTGTACAGCCAATCAACTTGTATTTCTTTTATTTTCATAAATTTTGATATTTGCAAGTTTGTTTATTCTTTCTTTAGTCCCTGTATATTTTTTCTGGTTTTTTTGTATAAAAAAAAACCTAACAAGCACACAACAGAGTGTATATTATAAATACACCTATGGGCATTCATCCATTAAATGAATAAGTCATGAGTCAGAATGAATTAGAGTCAGATTGGTTATTCTTTTATATATTTAATTTTTCTTATAAACTTAATCTGCATATATAATCTGATTCAAAGTAGTGGGACAGGGATATATTTAAAAGGGGGTTTGTAAGCATTTTATTATTTCATCATCATAAAAAGGAATATACTGTATATGATTTAGGTAGTTAAGCTTGGCTTTTTTTTTTGCATTCATCATAAATTTTAATCTGTATAATGTAAATAGTAGTCAAAGATGTAAAGGTAGACTTACACATTGGAATGCAAAGTCTAATACTTTTCTTAATTCTGTTTACGTTATATTCCCACGACTATGGGAACAATTACCAATAGAAATTCAAAATTATCAATCAATTTCATTATTTAAGTCTGCTCTTACAAAATATCTTCTTTCAATGTATTAATTAACTAATTTCAATTAAAAATGTTTAGTATCTAATTTTAAATTTGTTATTTTTATTTTGTGTTCTATTGAGCAAGTACATTGATTGTTTGGGCTTTCGCCTATTGTAATCTGCCAACCTCAACTGTTTACAGTGTAGTTCTCATCAAATTTGAATCACACACTATTGATCTTATGATTTCATATTTTTGTAGTGTAAGTTTTTAATCATATCATGCATAAATACATGTTATTTTCTTGCATATTGATGTTAAAAATGTAACTTTTCAATCTATTGGGGCTTTTATGTACAGCCTATCAACTTGTATCTCTTTGATTTTCATAAATTTTGGTATTTGCAATCTTGTTTATTCTTTCTTTAGTACCTGTATATTTTTTCTGTATAAAAAAACCTAACAAGCACACAACAGAGTGTATATTATAAATACACCTATGGGCATTCATCCATTAAATGAATAAGATGCACTGAGTCAGATTGATTATTTTGGTATATATTTAATTTTTCTTATAAACCTGCGTAAATAATCTGATTCAAAGTAGTGGGACAGGGATATATTTAAAAGGGGGTTTGTAAGCATTTTATTATTTCATCATCATAAAAAGGAATACTCTGTATATGATTTAGGTAGTTAAGCTTGGCTTTTTTTTTTCCATTCATCAAAAATTTAATCTGTATACAACCTAATAAATTTATAGATTTTCATGTACACTTTGACAATAAATTATCTGAATCTGATATGTATGTAGAGTATAATTGTTATTACTATATATAATTAACAGCAAGCTTAGCTTTTGTTATATACCTTTATTTGTAAATGTTAACCTGCATTCAAACCAATTCCATTTTATATTTCTTCATGATATACTTTGACAATAAATCATCTAAATCTGTATAGATGTCTTTATAGTATAATTGCTATTCATTTTTGTGGCCTACTTTGTACACAGACCCTATATATTGTATATAGGGTATGTGCTTTGTAGTATAGTTCTACTGTTATCCAGTACACAATAGTGTGTAATCATGTATTACAGAGAACTGTATATCATGATCACTCAAGATTGACCCTTTGATTAGTTCTTATCAACAAACAAATAATACCCTGGACCTCAGGGAAGAACAGTGTAAAAATACTGAGTATCAAGAATAAAGAAAGATTTCTAACTAACAAGTCAAAGATTTGATCATACCTTTTTTAAACATATTTGAAAATGTCTGATGGTTCTCGGCAAACCAGATGACACAGTAAATACTAAGCTCCGCCTCCTCCTCATCTGTGTTCTGATATCAACAAAATAGAAAGAAAAGAGTTTAACAAGTCATCGATTTGGTGTTCCAGATACTCTTTACAATTTATTATTATGATTAATATTGAGACAAAGGAAGTTCCTTCTTGCTCAAAAAAAGAAAAAAATATGTTAATAATTATTGTTACAACACCTACAATGGAATTGATTTTAAAATACATTATAAATAAACAAATTAAATAAATGCATTTCAAAATAAAAAAAATAATAATGAAAAAAATTAACGTAATAAAAAAAAATCAGTGTAATCTCCTATTCTAGTAATTCCTTACCTCTTGTTCTGTTCTACTCTGCAGTACTCTGCTTGTTGTATGATCTTCTTAAAGACTATCAAGGTTTGCAATATTCTTCCTAGAATTCTCAATGTTTGTTCATACTACTTGCTTCAAACTTTTTCATATTCTACCCCTGCATTGCATGGACTCTGCTGCCATTGTTTGATATGCTGAGAAGGAATTCAAAAACTTGACTGGTTGAAAAAGAATCATGTAAAGGACAGACAGAAATATTGGAGTACTTTAACTTTTACACAGATTAATATTAAAGTGCTTTAAATATTTCATACATATTAATATCATTATGATTTACTAAAGTAAAATAGTAATACCCCAGACCTAAACATATTTTCAAATTTTAATTTTAATCTTCATGATGTGATTCTGTGGGGGCAGGAAGCATCTTAAAAAAAGGGGTGGGGTGGGGCTGATTTTATCCTTCAGAAAACAAGGTGCCGGCAGCTTACACGTTTTATATATTCCACATCATGTCTCCAGAATAAGGATCTGCTGGCATTGGTGGCGCTATTTTTACATCCAACACCAAGTAACTCACAAATACGGGATGGAATGATGCTTTGTAGACTTCATGAGAAAATCTTGTGATTGAACCCAGGACCTTTGGGATTGGAAGGTATGAATCTTAACCACAAAAAAATTCAGACGCAAATTAGTTGCACTATGTGGGTTTAGTACTAAAATGACCATTAGAAGTTCTTAATGCATACAAAAAATGATACTTATAGCACTTATTCCATTAAGCAAATAATATATCTATTCAACATTACTTGATGCCAATTAATTTTAACATCTGAATGGCATTTTTTGATCTGATCAGACATTTGAGTGCTATGTACTCAAATATTGTATAGTAAAAGTCTGATAAGACATTTTTTGCTCTGATCAGACATTTGAGTGCTATGTACTCAAATATTGTACAGTTTTATAAAGCGAATAGGACTGAGATTTAATATATTTAATATGAACAATAGAAATGTCATTCACATTGTTACCATACCTTTGGTTTTTGTTCAGGAAGTTAGGTTGGAGAAGGCACGAGAAGATCTGCTGATCCAAGCAAGACGGACTGCTGTACATGAGTTGAACAGAATAAGAGGTAATAAAGAAGTCTGTAAACAAGCAAATTCCCTATTTCATTTTATTACAACTATTTCATACTATTTTACCTTGGAATAATTTATTTATTTATTTATTTTATATACTGTATGTTTATCTTATAAACATACAGTAGTGTAGTTAAAAAAAAAACGGAAACAAAAAACTAAAATGCCGAGCCTCAATTTCATACATTTTGGGTCGGTCGGTTGGTCGGTCGTGGCCAACAAAATTTTTTTTAATTTGGCCTAGTGGAATCATACCTAGAATAGTGTGGATAGCCATTAAGCTGAATATCATGCACCTGACAAGAATCTCCATGAAAGACGGGTCCACCTGGCAACCTCACCTTGTTCTTGAAGACAAAATAAACAAAAACATCTCAACAATGTCATATGAACACATCCATTTTCTATTTTGAGACATAATTTATATTGCTTCCATTCAATGAAAGCAGTGTAACTTTGGCATCAACAAATATTATTATAGCAATTACATAACTGTTTACATAATACATCTATTGAATGTTTGATACAATGATCTATTGTTGAGCTGATAGCTGCTGAACCTTAACAGTGAACCTTATCATTTTGAAGTTGATGGGCAATCAAGGGAAAAGTCTATTTTTGACAGACCAGAGGAAAAGCAATGATGGGAGTTGATAAGTATATGTCCCAGGCCGATTCTGGAAATTTTCTTCAATTCTGATACTTATTATGGCTATTATATCTGAACCAAAATAATTTGTTTGTCCTTTTTTGTTGTGGCAACCAAGGCATAAATGTAAGGGGAGTATTAAACCATGCCACTGTTTATTTAGTTAATGTATTAAAACATTCAAGATGCTTCTAGCTTCATTATATTTGGGGCATATATTTCATTAGTGTACTTTACCTTGTTTACATGCGTAGAAATTGGTAACCTAAGAGGTTTGTGGCCAATAGGTACTTCTGCCACTGTTTCTTCACTACCAGCCAACAACAAGAGTAATTGTAAAAGAGCTTTTGTTTCTGTATTAAGATCTGTAGGTAAAGAGGAGATTCCTTTTAATCGATCTGGAAGATAGTAGGCTGGCTACAGTCTCCACATCACCTCGGGGCTATAGGTTTACTGTTTTCCGAAACTAGAGCAGTCACTATTTGTTTTATGCAGTATACATCATACAAAGATTCTAAAAAAATGTAATGAAAAGAGTACCCACCATTTAGGCCTAGGCTTACTTTCTAAGCCTTGGCAATCAAAGGGCCAGTATCTCTCAGCATCAAAGAGGTTGCGACCCCTTTACTCTCCATGACTATCATAAATTACATAGTCAGCGTTTTAAGTGGGGCCTAGAAATTATACCGTGACAGGGCAAAAAAGTACTATGTATAATTTAACGTGATAGTTAACAGTTTCTGTGATAAGTTGGCCCTTCTGAAATTAGAAAGAATATTAAACGATGAGTCTCACCCATTAAATGGCTACAGTACTTTAAAAAAAAAATCAGGAACAATTCAAGAAACTACTGTCAAAACAAACCGGATAAAAAATTCATTCATACTACACATACTGTATGTCAGCTCTACAATAATAAATGCTCTAGATAATCACTGTCTTAAATTGGTACCATAGTTGTTATAGTCCATTTCATTGTCTTTCTATTTAGTTATTATTATTAAGATTTTTGGTGCTAATATTATGTGTAATATTTATATTTTTGTGATATGTAATTTTCATGTATATTTTTTATATGCAACAATAAAATCTACATTGAAGTTATAGCAGCTATTTAACAATCAGATGCCTAGAGTCTATGGATGCCGTATATAATGGTTTCTATCAGAATTAGTTAGAATGAGAATTCATTTACTTTGCCAATGTTTGTAAACGAAAATTTTGGCCCCCAGGGGTGGGGCCCAGGATTTTACCGATTGGGGAGGCCTACAGTACTAACACAGCGTTACCATGGTTGGGGCTGAGGTAAGAAAATTTATGAGTATGGCACGTCTGGATGGCCAGAAATGGCACTCTTAAGACTCAAAATTTGAGTAGAATTTTTTTTTCTCAATTTTTTTTTTTATTGTGAAATCCCTATAGTATGCTGCTTCCTTCACTAACCTTCAACTTTTGCAGCAAGCTTTTCAACGAGCTCCTCCAGTCGGCTAGCGCCATCATACAATCGTCTTTCCCTCAATTTGTAAACATTCACCAGCAAGTTCTCATAAACACTAAATCCCCCTTCGTTGCGCACTATTTTGGTTGCACTATGCGGCCCTGGTTGATATCGAAAAAGACTGTTATATGCACATGTCTTCAAACGGCGTTTACACTCTGCAACGGTAATAACAGGCTGGACCAGATGTGGGCCAAGCAGTGTAGAACCAAGTAAATGTTTGCCAAGAGAGTCAATGTTTTCAGCCACAGAATTCATAGTTATAATACCTTAAATATTACTGACATTGTTAATTCTATTCCCTGTATAGTATTTAAACACTGAAATAAATAGAAAAAAATACATTATATACCCCTTGCAATGTTTACATTGGCCTACCTGAAACGCTGGCAGCGCACTACCCTGGTAGGCAGAATATTCTCCTAGTATAGGAGAAATGCATTGGAAATCAGAATGCTGGTTAAATTATGAAAGTTACATGGATGAAATTCACATTAATCATGTTAGCATTAGACAAAAAAATAAAAATCTACGAAATTACAGTAACAATAATAACAATTTAACAATAACAATAATTTAATAATAATAATAATAATACTGTAATAATAATACATGAAATAATAAAAAGCATTTATATTGCACCGCATATCCAAAAAACATTTCCTCATAGGCGCATTGCAATACATAAAATCATGAAATCACAAAGAATCATTTGAAACATCAAATCGAATCAAATGTGTTTTATACCAGAATTATCTATTTATCTGTAACAATGAGCATGGGTATAATAATAAGGGAACCCGTCAATTCGAGCGGATGCCACTTCAAGCAAATGCCATTTCTAGCAGATTTGATCAGAATTTACTTCAAGCGCATGGGATGCTAATTCATGCGGAAAAAAGATCTACTTTTGCGAACAGGTTCCTTGTGCAAGTTAAATTTACGAAACCATTACTACTACCCTAGCTAGGCCTACTTCCTATTTTGAGCTAACAAATTGACAATTTGTCACCTTCTGATCTGATTTTGTCGGAACGATAATTCAGTACATATAATAGTTATTGAGCCTAGGCCTAGGTATGCGATCTGACTACCAGCCTAGGCTTATATAGGCCTAGGCTAGGACCTGGGCCCTAGGCCTAGAGTAGTAGCCGAGACTGACTGGGAGAGCCACGCAAACAACACAGGGGATCAGCACGGTCGCCATCTATTTTTGATTGAACATGAATTACTAGTGGATCAGGTATACTGGCTGGCTAGTCCTTTTAAACACTAATAATTACCATGGATTCTTGAATTTCCGTGTTTTTTCACTAGGCCTTGGCTAGGCCTCCCAGGTGACGAATTCTATCGTATCAAGTTCTCGCCTCGACGATAAACGGCGACAAATCAAGTTTACCGCGTTTGTGGTTGAAAAAACAATTCCTCAAAACGTATGGAAAGCCCAATCCGCACAAAAAATAAATAAATAAATAAAAGAAATACATGTACTGTTTCATTTAACAACTACACGCGATCACACTCGGCAACAAATTCAAGCACAGTGGCGTCGAGAGCCAGTAAGGGCCCCG